TCACTGTGTCATCTTCAGTGGGAGCAGTTCTTGGGAGTTTCTTTGGGCGTGAACACCGACATTGGGAGATACTGTTTCTCCGGATCAGGTATATCCCTTCCCTTCTCTTTTGGTTCAGATCTRGTTCGGTTTTGGTTCAAGTCAGATCCTTGAATACTGTATTCTAATTTTAGGGAATATGATTCCCAATTGGAAGAAAGGCAAGAAATTTTTTTGAAATTCGTCCACCCCTTCTGCACCCTTTTGGCGTCCATATGATGGATCTTACCATTCTTTCACTACCTTCACATAAGATAGGGGGTCCTGTCTCTCTGAGCCAATCCCCGTACAGTACTGTTCTCTTTGATTAGCTCCTTCGATTAAGGTGTAGCTTGCACAACATTTGTAGCCAACGTTTCAGCCTTTCTACCTGTGTCAACCTCGCCTCCACCAAAAGTATTTTCCTCTAGAAAGAGAATTTCCGTATTGAGGCTGTTATCCTCCAGAAAAAACCCCTTTGTCTTGTAGATCAACACTACCCAGACTATCTGTGTCCTCCGTATCAATGCCTTCACTGGATTCCACATCTGACCAGTCCCCCTCTTCTAAAACAGGCAGGTCCTTCTGCTTTACAAACCTCGGATTTCGTCTGTCAAGCGAGATCTTCGAATGTATCTTGACTGGAGTCCGCTGTAGCGAGCAGCTACCAGTCGATTTCTCTCCCGAGGAGCGGCAGCCAACAGAAGGGCAAGAGGCCGACGATGATAGACAAACTGTCTCGTCTAGCAAAGGTCCCCCCTGATCAAACACGTGAGTTTTAAGTTGCTCACGTGACTCCTTTAAGATTCTTCCCAGCGAGCTTTCATGGGCCCCTTGCTTATTACCTAGCCCAAAAGAGAAAATGGGCTTTTGCTTATTACTTGGCCCAGTTTTAACGACCTGCAGCTCCACGTGACTTTTAATAGTCACGCAAGTTCAGCCCATTGCCCGGTTTGGTTTTATCATGCCCGGGTTCAGTTCTTCCCTGAGCCGACACCTTCTCCTTGTTTAAAAGTGCCATATTGGCACCAGCTACAACCTGTGCAAAAGTCCGGCCACCCTCCAGACTGTTTTCTTTTTTTTTTTGATGAATAAAGCCCCTCCAGACTGTTTTCTTCTTCTGCATGCATAATACCTTCCCCCTGAATACTACCTTTTTGTTTCTCCAACATTTGTTTTTCCATTTTAGTGAAAGTGCTATTTTTATTTGAACCATCCAATCCTTTTTTGTCACACAATTCTTCTTCTTCAACCTTCTCATCTCCCTCCCTACGAGCCTCTTTCCATAGCACAGCTTCAATGGATGAAGCCAGCCAAACTGAGTAAAACTGCCCTTCAACTCGCACCTCTATCTTCTGAGATATCTCCTCAGGTTTTACTCCATTTAGTAAAATGGAAGCTGAGTAGAGGTCTCCCTAGAAAACAGCTCCTAGTGATCCTCCACACATCAGAGCAATGGCTTCAGCAGCTGCTTGCTTCCACAAGTGAAAAGGAAAGCCTAAGAGTCGCACCAGCACCCCATCTTCAACAAAGAAATCTTTGGAGTTTGACCCTGGACACCATCTTGATATTGTGAAATTCCCAAGTTCAGCTTGGATATTTAAAGCCTCAGCTTCTACTCTATTCTCAAGCAAGTCCAGCAGTGCCTTATCTTTCTCAAAGGGGGTTAAGATAAACGTACTCTTCAACTTCAAACTTGCTGTTAACAAATTTGCAACTTTCCTCCAATCTACAATCCAAAATGATGCTTTAACTATCAGTTTACTTTCCCAATCTTCTCTCTCTAGATTTGCTCCCATTCTGTGTTTACCTGCTCCAGCTGTCACTATAAGAGCCTCTTGCTTATTATTTCTCTCCTGGCTAGTAGAACTGTTTATCTTCCTTTTTTTCTTCAGTTTCCTTCTCTTTTAGCACCCAACCATTGCATCAGTTCACATAATACCCCATGAACTTCCTTCCAGCCCTGATGTTTCCTTCCCTCTGGGAAACAGACCATCTGCTTCCTACCCTTGCCAAAAAATTCTGTCAAAGATATGAAAAGCCTTCAGAATTTCTCTTACATTCTACTACAAATCTTCTTCCAGTTTCTGAGAGAGAAACCCTTTCCAGCTATTTTGTTTGCCCTTGTTACTTGCACCTTCCACAAACTCCTTGAACCCTTCAATCACCCCCAATCCTTCTAACAGCACCATCCCTTTGTTTGCTTCCCTGATACACATGCTAGTTAAATAGTAATATTCAATCTATCATAAGTATCCTGACATTCAAGCATTTATTTGCTACAACATACAGTATATTATAAATTTCCATGGCAATTATACTGTATTGCACTCCTTGTTTTTGTGCTTAAAAGATAAACTAGATATTAAAAAACAATTCTTATAAGATGAAGTATTCATCACTGAACCTTGTGTTCATTAGCATTTTGCAGCCCCATCCCCAGTTGGGAGGACCTTTAGAAACATGCATACCGATGGTGATTAATATGGATAGACATCATACCATAAAACTAAAATGCTTGGTACATTCATTCACTTAATAAAAGTTCCCTAATGTACACTTGAGCCACTGAATCTTCATATACAACTAATAAAAAGTTATAACATAAGGCTTACATTTGATCTTCATACTAAAAGAATGGCACAAGATAAGATAAATGATGCTAAACTATAACAAATTATTGCACCAGATGAAAACTTTCCAGAAATAAGGAGAAAAAGAACCAGTAGAATTCATTACAGCAGTTTATAAAATAACACACCAAAAATTCTGTGGGCTGTGTCTAGCAGCAGAAATCACCACTGTAAGTTCAAAATTAGACCCTGGTTCTGCATCTTTTCCATTAGTGCAGTATACCGAGCAGGCACCTTTTGGATAAGCTTCGCTAACATATTTTATGAGTTCTGAATCTAGAGCACATCTGCCATGAACCATGTAATAAAGAGTTACATAAGGAAATATTTATTTTTCTCACCAAGGAGCCCTATACCAATAAAAAAAAGATAGCATGGTCTATCCAATATGAAACATGCATACAGTCATACACCTACTCAGTAGATGAAGAATCCAAAATAATTAATATCATTATGGTCATGACAAAAAATTGTTGAATTCAAATTGTGAAACCCACCAAATAGGAAATGGATGAGTATAAAAAAGATTATATATCCTTCCTATACTTAAAGACTTGGACAAATTCTTTCCTTCAAACTGTGCATATTATTCTCCTGTCATCCAAATACTCCAACATATTACAAACAGTATGAAATTCAATAGCATATGATACTCCTTAGTCCTTACCATAACATTTAAAAGGTCATGCATCAACAAGGGAGGAAACATTTACCAATATAGCCCAGTGTTGTCCAAAAGTATTCAAGGAAATGAAACTGAATCCTTAAGAAGTAGGCACAACTGAGCTGTGGATTGTTTTGCTAAAAGAAACATGCATTTTCTAGATCTTTTCCATAAGATAACTGAAATATCTCCTAAGGTTTAGGCAGTAGAACCACATAGGTCACCATCTAGAAACACTCTTCATCCCTTCCACTATAAGTCTGTAACCCCAAAAATACAGCCATGTTGTATGAGGAAGTTCAAAGTGAAGAATACAAACCTTACAAAATCTATATTCCCAATCCACACCCTGTTTCCTCACTTCTAAGGTGATAGAGAGGTGCTTAAGAATGCCCTGCCATGCACAACATCCAGAGGGAAAGACTTCAGCTGGACAATTCCAGAGTTATCATCTCTAATGACAACAATATCATCAGCATACACTACAAAATGAGTTACTAGGCCATTAATCCTTCTTATAAAAGGAGTATGATCTACCTGTGATTAAGTGAACCCCATTTTAAGAATAGCTTTTCTAAATTTACCAAACCAAGCCCTAGGAGATTGCTTGAGCCCATGAAAGGATTTTTTTTTAGATGACAAACCTTCCCCTCACTGTCATGGAAGCTTACTCCCCAGGGAAGATCCATGTAGACCTCTTCTTGAAGATCTCCATTGAGGAAGGCATTCTTCACATCCATCTGGTACAGAGGCCACAAATACACTCGAATGGAGTTCATCTTACCCAGCCACGGGTGCAAAAGACTCATAATAATCAATCCCATATGTTTGGGTATACCCTTCTACCACCAACCTAGCTTTTTATCTTCTCATTGAGCCAGCAGCTCAATGTTTAACTATATACACCCACTTGCAATCCATTCAGACCTTACCTTCAAGGAGAGGGACAATCTCCCAATTTTGGTTCTTTATGAGGACCTCCATTTCTTGGTTCACAGTATCCTTCCATTGCGAGGAATAGAAACAGTAGAAATGGCAGACATATAGGCATAGTATGAATGTGATAGGACATCATAAGAAACATAGTTAGTAATGATATAGATAGTACACTTCATTTTTCCTTTTCAAATTGCAATGGGAAGGTCAAGGTCATCTTGGGAGGCATCAAGCTCAATACCTGAAGGAATAGAAAATTCAAGTTCAAGGTTACTTGGAGTTGGGTGATCAAATTGTTGTTGACCTTCAACCTCAGGAGCAATCCTTCTTCTGCGCTTGAAGAACCATTGCTACCAAGGTCGTTGCTGAGGAACAAGGGGGGGAGGAGGAGGAGCAAAAGTACTACCATTGCAAGTAGGAAGAAGGGAAGACAGACCAAAAGTATCCAATAGAGGTAGGAACAAGAAAACAAAATAGAGTTTGATCTTCATTGATACTCTCCCCCTGAAAAGAAGGGCGAAGTGGTTAGAAAAAAGTAAACTCAAGAAATGTAACATCTTTGGACACATATCGTCGACTAGAGTGGGAGTCAAAGCACCTGTATCCCATTTGGACTGGAGAATAACCAAGAAAAACACACTTAATGGATTTGGGATCAAGTATGAGACAAGAATGACTCGTATCATGAACAAAACAACTACACCCAAAGACTCGGAGAGGAAGGCAAAAAAAATGGGATCATTACTTCATTAGGGAATAGAAGTTGATGAGGGGACTAAAGATGTAGAATCCATTAAGGAAGCCTACTAATGAGATGCATCATTGCTTCAACAACATTTCCCCAGAAGCGAGTGGGCACATACATCTGAAAAAGTAGCCCCCTAGCCACTAGGGGTGCTCACAGCTCAATTAACTGAACCATAGGCCTATTTTTTAAACAGAGTTGGTATTACCAATTTCTGGGAAACTGGTAACCGAAACCGAACCAAAGCCGACTAGTTAACCGATTGATTGGTTCGGTTAACCATTGATTTGGTTCGTCGTTTTTTGGTTTTTTTTATATTTACAATATATTATAAAATATATATATAATAAAAACTAGAAATATATAAAGTATTATATTTAAATAATAAATAATATTATATATTATAAATATATATTTTATATATGATGCATATTTATTAATTTACAATATGTAGAAAATATAAAATATATAATATATAATATACATAAAATATTTAGAAATATATGTATACCGATCGGTTCGGTGCTGGTTTTCTATATTGGTTAACCAAAACTGGACCGGTACCTTTGGTTTTTTTAAATACCAAACTGAAACTGAAATTGACCAGTCCGGTTAACCAGATTTTCGGTTCGGTTTTTCGATTTTTCTTGCTCACCCCTATTGGCCACTTCAACCACATGTTTAATTTTTCTCTTTGCTACACCATTCTGTCAAGGGGTATGGAAACATGAGTTTTGATGCCTTTTCTTCAAGAAAGCTTCATAAATGCTTTTCAAATTTCCTTAACATTATCAAACCTTATTATTTTGATGTTCTTTTCAAATTGTGTTTCCACCATTTAAAAAAAAATGAATAATGGAGGGGATTTCATCTCTGCTCTTCATCAAATATAACCAAGTGTATCTTAAGTTATCACCAATAAACAAGATAAAGTATTTGTCGCCACCCATGCAAGGGAAAGAATATGGGGCCCAAACATTAGTATGTATCAAATTAAAAGCAACATCACTTTTTCTATTACTTGCATAATATGTAGTTCTACATTGCTTTAAGAGATGACAAATTTCACATTGTAGACTTGAATTGGGCACAGATTGACACAAGTTCGAAAACAAAAACTTAATAGACTTAAAAAAACATATGACCAAGTTAACAGTGCCACAATTTTAAAAGACTTAGATTCCCATTTTACATAACTCAATCTAGCACAATAATCCTTGCTCATGAGCATGATCAAAAAGATAAACTCCATCAGCTTCATGCCTAGTTCTAATCGTCCTCCCCATGCTCAAGTCCTAAAAAACAAAATGGAAGGGGAAATGGTCACTTAATAGTTATGGGATTTGGTAAGGGAATTAACAAATAAAAGGGTTATGTGCAATTGTGGAACATGAAGGACAGAGCTCATTGAAAGATTATGAGTGAGCTTAACTTCACCCAAACCAAAAATTAGAATCTATGATCAATTAGCTACAATGATATCACCTTTCCTTGAAGCCAGTTTATAAGAGGTAAAGTGGGAGAATATACCAGTCATGTGAGAACTAACTCTAGAGTCCAAAATCCAAGAGTTAGGATATTAGGGCTGACAAGCAAGAGCAATACCTGTTTTAGCAAAAGCGCTGAAAGGATTACTAAAGCCCATAGAGGTAGAGGACCTAGTCTTCTCAAGCTGAGTGTAGGCTTCTGAGTTTCTCCATCACATCACAAGAATCATGTGAAGGAGCCTAAACACAAGGAGATAGACAATCAACTCCCCCAGTAGCAAGATGAGCATTTCCTTTCTTAGTTGTTTTAAACTTCTCAAGCTTTAAACGGGGGGTTCAGCTTCCAACATCAGTCCTTAGTGTGTTTTAATTTCTTGCAATATTCACTCAGACACTTCATCAGTCTTCTCATTTACACCCTATTTGTTAACACTTTGCTTGGGTTTAGCAAACATGTAAGTAGAAAGTTCGCCAATTGCAATTTGCGTCATGGCAGCCCTCCTACTCTCCTCTCCCTGCACCAAGGAGTATTCTATAGCAAGAGAAACAATATCCGTACTCAAGATATGCTTCCAAGTAAAATCACTCTACATTCAAACCTGCCAAGAAGTGAAAAACTTTATTCTTCTCAATGTATTTTTTGTACTATTTGTCATTCTTAGGATTCTTCCATTCCAAGGAGTCTAAATGATATATTTCTTTTCAAAGGGATTGTAAGGAAGAGAAGTACATAGCCATTGTCCTCTCCCCTTTACACATATTGCAAGCTTCTCTTTGAAGTTGGTAGACTCGAGCATGTTCATTACATGGCAATACGTAGCGGTAACATGATCCTAAATGTCCTTGGTAGTGGGGACTGGGGAGAAACATATAGTTACAAGCAATATGCAATTGCATTGAATAGACCAGCCGTGACATAACCAGAGAATTATCTTGTTCTCACTTGACAAACTTGAGATCATCAGATTTCGGCTTCACTTCCTTGCCGATAATGAACCCTAGCTTACCTCTTCCTCCGATGGTAAGCTTAGCAGACTGGGACAATTCTAGAAAATTGGTTCCATCAAGTTTTACAATGGGGATCATAACATTAGAAATATATGCATTAACTAGGAGCACTCTATAAGCAATTTATATTAAATGATTCCATTTGTCTTGGTTGTAAAGAGACTGGGCCGAATGGGCCCTAACAACCTTTCGTGTGATATCCTTTATTTTACCTTTTATTTTATGTTGATGGGCCTCACTTAATGGGGGCCTGTTATTTGTTCTTATTTTATTTTCTTTATGTAACTGCCAAGCTGGCCGCCCACTTAAGGGTATACTTGTCATCATCAAGTTTTTAGAGATTAATAAAAAATAGGGTTAGAAGAGAAGGGTGATTAATTCGACTTCTTCTTCTCTTACCTCTTCTCTTCGCCATCTTCCTCTCTTATACTGTTATTCAGACCTGTT